AAAAAAAAAATCACCACTTTTATTGAACATGGAAATGGTCAAGACAGAAATGAATTTATAGTTAAAAGTCATAAAAAAAAATTGATGAAAATGAATTTATATTTGATTTTCCTGATTTCATTCAGCATATCTCGGTCTGTCACTGACATTACTTTCATACTGATAATCTGCAGACACAGGATACCAGTAGTGCAACTAGAAATCAGAGGACCAAAAAAATATTATACACCTATTGTCAAGAATGATGAATTACTATTTTCATTCCATTTAATGTGGGATCTTACCCCAGATTTAGAATTGAACATGCGTTTAAGTTGCCCAGAAGCAGAAGAAAAGGACAACTTCAAGTTTCCCGGCCCAATTTCAATTGTCTCTTCTTTTGGACTATCCATTGTTGATACATACATAGTTCTACTATTTCCTGAATCATTGTAGCGGAAACTATGTTACTCTTATCTCTTCTAAACACATAGTCACCAATGTTACACAATCAGCTTTCAACAGTGAGTCTGGTATCTCAATATTTTCCAGTGATCATAGAGTAAATCAAACACGTTAATGAATGTTACAATAGAGACAATATTAGAGACACTCCCTCACCTTTATGACAATATCACAAACAACCCCCTCACGTTTTGAAAATATCATTAACCTCGCATATTTCTAGATTTGAGTCTCGCATACACCCCTAACCACTTTTTTTGCCATATATCATCTGTTATACCTTAAATGCCTTGCAAGAAAAAGATGAAATTTTCTACAATTGGTTGCAACTTATTCAAGTAAATTAAAAATAAAAAAATTGACATCATCTACAGAGCTCATTGGACATAAACTAAATTTTAAGCATTACTTAATTTATTGTGAAATATTACAATGATTAATATATACATCACGTTAACATAGTATTCTATTATATATCATGATCAATATTTAATAAATAAATTTTGAAGGTGTATAATGTTTTAGGGAACTAGTATACTATTGTTTAGCTAAATATTACTTCAATTGCAAAAAAGTACAATGTTTGGGAAGTGTTTATAAACGATTTTGTTTATAAATATAAAAAATGAGTGGTAGATAAGTAGATGGTGTTTGTGAGTCCTAGAAAATGTGTAGATAAAAATTGAATTGACCCTCTTTTCATAAACAATTTATAAACGCTATAAATTTATAAATATGAATTTTTATTGATATTTTTGCATTTATTAATAATTAAAATATGTGTACAAAATAAGTAATTAATTAAAAAAAAATTATAAATTATTACCAAAATTTTCAACAAATTTTAGGTTTAAATTTCCACTACCATGCATATTTAAAATTGAGTCTGCATATAGTCTTTAATATTAATTAATTATTGAAGGGAACAAATTAAATCATAACTTAATTGTAGAAAAATTCATCTTTTACTTAATATGGGCATTTTAGGTATATCAACCTCACTTCTGATGATGCATAACTCAAAAAAGAGGCTACGAAGTATATGTGATATTCAAATCTAGAAATAAGGAAGGTTAGTGAAATTTTTGAAAGAATTAACCTATTTGTACAATTGTTGTTGGCAATCATTATTGAAAACATTAATGTTGTTAAAATCTAGACCATTGATTTAAAAATTAGTTTTTAAAATGGATGAATGTGATATTGTCAAGTGTGAATTGTCAACCAAGATTGTAAAACAAGATTGTAGAAGTACCATAATTGTTTATGAAATGTGAAAGGGTGTCTTTAATATTATGAGAAACATGAAACTCTGATAATGTCTCTTTACAATAATATCAAATGTAGTTGTATAAACATTTTAAACCAATTTAATTATGTTAACATCATTTTACCATAAACATAAAGAGATGAAGATGAACAAAATAATCATCTTTACCCTTTTGATAATATATAAGAATATGAAGACAGCTCTCGAACATTATGGAATTATTTCTATTTTATCGATTGCACAGAGTTATAAAGAGAGCCTTTAATTAGAAATTTAATCAGGAGATGTTGAAATTAGATACAAGATCAACTAGAAACCACTATAAGAATGGTATATTGTTCAAGTAGTACCTCTCCGAGATGCTTTAGAAATGAAGAAAGTATTCCAACCCAAAGGTGGCACGGATGCTTGAAAGAAAAGCCAGAATTGTGGAGCTTTTTTTGGTGAAATTCCAATATATGCCTTGACATAGAAGCTTCTCAGGTTCCTTGTAACATTGTCCAACTCCACATATTGTGACTCAATAATTTTTCCCGCAGAATCTTTAACAACAAGGTTATGATCATTAACCTGTAAATTATTCATCCGGTGGTTACTCGCAAATAATCCCATTTGTCATGCTATAGGAAGAAGAAAAGAAAAGAAATACACATGTAAAAAAGTTGAAATACACATATTATTATTCTTAGTGATTAACTTGTAGTCTTTCTTAATTGTTAGGGACTAGGGGTGTAAATATCCTTTTCTATTCCTGTATATATCTTTGGACAACAGTTAAATAAAATCAAGAAATTACACCCCCAAACTCTTTAAAAAATATGATTTTGGTGCGGGACAGCTTCAAATAACTAAGAACAAAGAGAAAGAATTGCATAAGAAAGGTATGGTCGATGTACCAAACCTATTGTAAAGCATGCATTATATTATATAAAAACTATGGAGACATACAATTTGTATCTTACAACTAGATAGATCTATAGACCAAATATATAGAACCTACACTATACATAGAAAAATTAATAAAGAGGAAAAGATATCAGACATCTATAAGAGGAATATGATAAGAAACAGGCCACAACTTGAAGAAAATTAATGAAGTTGCTGCAATATACCTTCAACAGAAGAGTATACAATGGAAAATAAAGATGACCGGAAAGATACGAGACTCTAATTCCCTCTACTCACTCAATATTCATTCATATCCCATCCCTACCCCTAACAAGTTTATTTATACCCTACCCCTCCCCCCCAACTGACTCTAACAAAATTGACTGTGACTCTTAACCAATTACTGACTCGGCATAATTCTAGAAGCCACTAATCTGCCCTGCTGTCGAGTGGATGGTTCCCTCCATGTGCTTGCTTAGCCCCTTTCTTACGTCTCGTATACGTAAACTTAATTGGGAGTTTATCAAATACCCTTCCCAATGTAGTCACCTTGTCCACAAGGTGCCAAGAGGGGAATTGCTGATTTATCAAGTCAAACGGTTCCCAAGTTGCTTCCATAGGAGACAGCCCTTTCTACTGAATCAAGACCTCCATAGCTTCAGTTGTTCCTTTCTTTAGCTGCCTGAACCCCAAAACAACTTCTGGTTCCACGAGGAGTTCCCAGTCCTCACCCAACTGAAGGGGGAGGGAAGAGGTGACAGGAACATTTCCTACCACTTTTCTCAATTGTGAAACATGAAAAACAGGGAGGACACGTGTATCAGCAGGTAGTGAATATTGGTAAGCCATTTTTCCCACCCTTGCCAGAATTCCGAACGGTCTATAGTCCCTCGGGGCTAATTTTTCATTGTAGCGAGCAACTAGTGATCTAAGCCTATATGGTCTCATTTTCCCATAAACCCAATCTCCTGCCAGATATTCCACATTCCTTCTATGTTTGTGTGCTGATAATTTCATTTGTTGCTGGGCCTTATGGAGATGCAGTTTTAGTTCATCCAAAACTCTGTCCCTTTTCTCCAACTGCTGTTCCAAGGCTGATATGGCTGTGGTTCCCTTTTCGAAACGGATTAGCGGGGGCGGGTCGCGCCCATATAAGATGCGAAAAGGGGTGAGCAGGGCTGATACATGATAGGAGGTATTATAAGAGTATTCAGCCCAAGGTAGGAACTGATACCATGTTTTTGGCTTCCATGATGCAAAACACCATAAATGTCTCAACCCCTCTATTGACCACCTCCGTCTAGCCGTCGGTCTGTGGATGATAAGCCGAACTATGTTTTAATGATGTCCCTTGTAGTCGAAAAAGCTCACTCTAGAATTTACTCACGAACACCTTATCTAGGTCAGAAATTATAGAGCAAGGAATCCCAAGTAACCTGACCACGTCCTTAGCGAAAACTGCAACAGATGGGGCTGAGAACGGGTACTTTAGGCCAATGAAATGTGCGCACTTGCTTAAGCGATCCACTACTACTAGAATTGAGTCGACCCCTTTTGATTTTGGTAGTCCTCTGATAAAATCCATCGAGATTTTTTTAGGAAGCTGGACCCCAATGCTTTTGAAGATTGGTTGACAACCATTAAGGATTATTTTGATTGGTTCGCTGTGTCCGAGGATAGAAAAGTTCGTTATGTCCGTATGAAATTGAAAGGGCATGCACAAGCTTGGTGGAGTAGTGTGGAAGAACAATTACGTCGTACTCGACGTGCGCCAGTGTCTAATTGGGAAGAAATGAACAAGAGGCTGAAGGAGAAATATTTACCTATTGACTATGATCAAATGATGTTCGAAGTGATGCTACAACTGAGGCAAGGAACATTGACTGTGAACCAGTATACAGACCGTTTCCATGAACTAGCTGTCCGAAGCAAGCTTGTGGAAAACGAGCAACAAACTCTCGTTCGTTACCGAACGGGCTTACGTAGTGAACTATGCAAAGAAATGCTGACCGCGCAACTCATAAGCGTTGAAGAGGCTTATCAATTGGCCTTATGTGTCGAGAAGCAAATGGGGCCTTCAAACGAAAGGTGGGTGGCATCTATGGATCCTAGATAGGAGCTCACACCAACTCACTCATTCCAAAAACCGTCGTTGCCAAATGACCAAAGTAGAAGCGTTGTGGTGGGATACCAAAAAGAGAAGGCCAAACTTACGAGCGACGGGCCACAATGCTGTAAGTGTAAAGGGTTTGGACACTTTACTGTAGTGTGTCCTACAAGAGAAAAAAATTGGCCTTTTGTGTGTGAAAAAGAAATCACAATGCTAGATGCAATTGAAGGAGTTGAAGAAAAGGAAGCCGATAAATTTGGTGGCGAGGATGTAGAGCATTTAGGTGCAATTCATCTGCCCAGTTGTGTGATCCACTGAGTCTTGACTGGCACTAAGAAGGAGATCCAAAATGATTTTGATTGGAGGTGCACTAATATTTTTCATATCCAGATGGAGCATGGTGGTCACGCATTGAACGTTATCATTGACAACGGGAGTAGAATGAACGTAATTTCTGTGGATGCAGTGGAGCGTTTAGGTTTAAAAGTTGAAAAACACCCTACCCCTTATCAAGTGAGCTGGGTTAATGAAGACAACCACATTTTGGTAAAGCATCGCTGTTTAGTGAAGTTTGCATTGAGAAAAAACTATACGGATGAGACCTGGTGTGATGTGGTTCCCATGACCGTTTGTCACTTGTTATTGGGTCAACCTTAGCTCTATGACAGGAAGGTGTTGTATGATGGGTATGGCAATTCTTACTCCTTTAAATTTAATGGCAAGAAATTCGTTTTAGACCTCTGCAAATTTCTGAATTTGAAACACAACCAAAACAAAAAGAAGAAGTTGTTGTTCCAGTGCTAACCATTCGGCAGTTCACTCAAGCTCTAAAAGAAGAACAACTAGTGTTGTCGGTGGTGAACCGAGAGACTAAACAAGATGATGGTATTATCCCTAACGAATTTATGAAGAAGATGCTAGAGAAGTTCTAGGAAATCATGCCTGACGAGATGCCGAAGTAGCTACCGCCAATGCGAGAGGTGCAACATGCCATTGATCTAATCCTAGGATCTTCTCTGCCAAACCTACCTGCATTACCGTATGAGCCCCATGGAAAATGAGGAACTCAACCGCCAAATTTAGCAGTTGCTTGACAGTGTCTTCATCTGAGAAAGTCTTAGTCCCTGTGCCGTACCAGTTCAACTTACACCCAAGAAGGATAATATTTGGAGGATGTGCGTCGATAGCCGAGCAATTAAGAAAATAACATTGAAGTACCGGTTTCCTGTCCCTCGACTTGACGACATGCTAGCTTTATTAAGTGGCACATCCATCTTTACAAAAATTGATCTTCGTGGCAGGTATCATCAAATTCGAATCTGTCCCGAGGATGAGTGGAAGATGGCATTCAAGACAAAAGATGGCTTATTTAAGTGGTTGGTCATGCCATTTAGGCTAACCAACGCACCAAGCACATTCGTGCGTGCTATAACGCAAGCACTCAAACCTTTCTTAGGCAAATTCGTAGTCGTCTATTTTGATGATATTTTAATTTTTAGCCATTGTTTGCAGGACCATTTAGACCATGTGCAGCAGGTCTTAGAGACTTTAAAAAGAGAACGGCTTTATGTGAATCGTGACAAGTGTTCCTTTATGAAGAATTGGGTGTATTTTCCAGGATTTATTATCTCAAACCAGGGGGTTGAAGCCGATCCTACCAAGGTTCAAGCAATTAAAAGTCGGCCTGCTCCTCGCAATTTTTCTGAAGTACGCAGCTTCCATGGGCTGGCCACCTTTTATCAGCGTTTCATATGGCATTTCAGTACCATCATAGCCCCCATTACGGAGTGCTTGAAGTCCAAAAATTTTATGTGGACTGTAGCTGCCAAAAGAGCATTAACTGAGATCAAAACAAAAATGGAAGAAGCTCAAGTTCTAAAGTTGTCAGATTTTTCCAAAGTATTTGAAGTGGCATGTGATGCATCCCATGTAGGTATGGGAGGAGTCCTCAGCCAAGAAGACCATCCTATCGCCTTCTATAGCGAGAAACTCAATTAGGCCCGTCGGCGGTATTCGACGTATGATATGGAGTTTTATGCTTTGATTCTGGCATCCTTATTTAATTAACTGAGAGTTCATCCTTTATATTGATCATGATTCATTAAAGCATTTGAATGCTCAAAGTAAGTTAAACGCAAGGCATGCTCGATGGATGGATTATCTACAGCAATTCGACTTTGTCATCAAGCACAAGTCAGGAACTGAAAATAAAGTAGCCGATGCCTTAAGCAAAAGGCCGCACTTACTAGTTGTAACTTCAGTGAATACTATGGGGTTTGACAGCCTCAAGCAACAATATTCTATAGATGAAGACTTTAGCAGTATTTGGAGTAGGCTCACAAGAGGCACGAACGCAACTCAGAATGCATCTTCAATCAAAGATGGCTTTTTATTCCACGGCATTCAACTATGCATTTTGTGTGGATCCTTCAGAGAATTAGTTATTTCAGAGCTTCATGGAGGGGGCTTAGCGGAACATTTCGATTTTGATAAAACAATTGTTATAGTCTCTGATCGGTTCTTTTGGCCCCGACTACGTCGCGACATGCATAAAGTGGTGGCTTGTTGTCGG